CAACCCGTGATCCATTGGGTCACCCACTATTCAAATGTTATGAAGAATTCAAGTTAATTTCAATATTGCACCGAAATTATATAATCTATATTAGTATATTTTGGTTTGTTCTTTTAGATTCTTAATCCTATAGGGTAATTTCATTCAGATTTAATTGGAAAGTTATAATTTAGATAATTAAAAAGCGTGAGTGTGAAATGTAGTATTTTTGGAAACGACAATTATGCCAAAATTGCTTATGTAATTTTTTACGAATCATTTGTTGGGTAGTTCAATTACTGTGAATTGATGTCATGTTACTCAAACCTTCTGTATTTTTATTGTTGCCTTAAGTGAGTATTGTTACATCATAACGTCTCGTAGTTGGTAAAAAATTCTAGGCCTCAGTCGGGCAATGTATATATAGGTGACCAAGTTAGTGCAATTAGGTAAGTTCACAGTGAAAATAAAAGTAAGACAAAGTTCGTGAGAGATATGGTCAAATAGATCTAGACTTTTAAAGTGCAATAATCACACCATGTGTTATAATAACAGAGTAGAGTCAATTGGGTTCTAAAGTAACCAAATCAACCTATGTGGACATTTGACATAAATGAGAATTATTTAAAGCCTTGAATACAACAGTGGTGTAACGAACATTTATTTATACGTTTGACTTGTTTTGAATATATTATTCAACCTACAGACATCGGTCTTGTTTAACAAAATCTGCCTACAAGAAAATCTGTCACCAAAGTATACCAACATCCGATTAATGTGTATAGTAAACGCAACATTTAAAGCTAATATACTTTAATCTACACATTCATTTACTGAGTATGGTAAACACAACATTTAAGGCTAATAGACCTTAATCTACACATTCATTTACTGAGTATGGTAAACACAACATTTAAGGCTAATAGACCTTAATCTACACATTCATTTAATGTGTATAGTAAACGCAACATTTAAAGCTAATATACTTTAATCTACACATTCATTTACTGAGTATGGTAAACACAACATTTAAGGCTAATATACCTTAATCTACACATTCATTTACTGAGTATGGTACAACATTTAAGGCTAATAGACCTTAATCTACACATTCATTTAATGTGTATAGTAAACGCAACATTTAAAGCTAATATACTTTAATCTACACATTCATTTACTGAGTATGGTAAACACAACATTTAAGGCTAATAGATCTTCATCTACACATTCATTTACTGAGTATGGTAAACACAACATTTAAGGCTAATATACCTTAATCTACGCATTCATTTACTGAGTATGGTAAACACAACATTTAAGGCTAATAGACCTTAATCTACCTTAATTTATATCTATAAATCTACACCTGGCGGCAAGAAACAACATCATCAAAATAATTTCATTGGGACTTAATTTAAACCTTTTTGTTGTTGTTGTTGTTATTTCCTACATAGATTATCCTCGGAAGATAAAAAGAATCGTAACGATTAAAAAAAATTATATCTATAAATCTACACCTGGCGGCAAGAAACAACATCATCAAAATAATTTCATTGGGACTTAATTTAACCCTTTTTTGTTGTTGTTGTTGTTCCTCACATAGATTATCCTTGGAAGGTAAAAAGAATCGTAACGATTAAAAAAAAATATAATCTACACCTGGCGGCAAGAAACAACATCATCAAAATAATTTCATTGGGACTTAATTTAACCCTTTTTTGTTGTTGTTGTTGTTTACCTTCCGAGGATAATCTATGTGAGGAAGAAGAATCGTAACGATTAAAAAAATTTATATCTATAAATCTACACCTGGCGGCAAGAAACAACATCATCAAAATAATTTCATTGGGACTTAATTTAACCCTTTTTTTGTTGTTGTTGTTCTTTACATCGATTATCCTCGGAACTAAACAAGTATCGCAATGATTAAAATCTAAAAATCTTCTTACCGCGAAGCTTTTTTGCATTTATTTCAAAATCAAAAGTTTAATAAGGTCCCACAAATATATATAACTTATTAACGTTACTGGATCATTTCATAAGAAATCTTTAAATTAATTATTCAAAACACAAAGTTAAATAATTTGTGTGTCCGAGGGAAATGAACTCAAATATTATTTTTGTTCTGTGGTTTTTATGCTGAGATTTCTTTGATTTATTTCTTACTTTTTTTTGGTTTCCAAAACATTCTAGTAAGGATTGTCCAGCATTCTTTAAATGTTAAAAACAAAACAAAATAAAACACATATACACTTTGTACAATGTAATGTATGTTTAGCCTCAACTATATTTTAAAAAGTACACTTTTTACCATTTACGAAATATTTTTTTACTAGCATGTTTAAGAACAAAAATTTAATATACACACAAATAAATTAACAATTGTTCGATTGCTTGTTTCCAAAACAACGTTTAATTACGAACTTGTCACAGATAATGAACTAGCAACTGTGTGATAGATTGTTTTCCCGACAAAATTTCAATTACGAACGTCTGGCAGCAAATATGTTTATAAATGTGTAATTCCTTGTTTCTACAACAAAGTTAA